CAGCATGTTTCTGGCTTTCCTGCTGCCATTTGCAAGCATGACACCATCAGCAAGCTGATTTTAGAAGACCCAAACAGATGATCATTTCTTTTCTGCTCCCCACAAAAGGCCTGATGCAAAACTCACTGGAACTGGTGGAGAGGCTCACAGAGATGTAAGGGGCTTTGGCTCAGGCCCAAACACACCAGCCAGGAATAATACTGAGAATGTATCTGGAGCTGAGATAATACAAAGGGACTAATCCTAGTCACCTTCCTTTAACAGCAGGCTCCGTGTGATTTGAATTGGCTAGCTTCTGCCATGAATTAAGCACAAAACCCTAAAGGCAACTCCAGTCATCTAGCCTTGCAGTCTCCTCCAAACTTAATCCAGAGGGAAAATTGACTAATCCTATTCAGTTGCTACCCTGATCTAGTGCCATGGCTTAAAAAAAAAAAAAAAAAAAGGAGGGGGGGTATGTCACAGGGAGACTGAATACTCTCGGTTGGTTTTCCTTTGCACGTCCTTTGCAGAACTTGACCAAAAAAGGGGGATGGTGGGGGAAGTCTGGTGAGAAGGAAAGGTTATTTGCTAAAGTGAGTATACACTTAAAAAAAAAAAAAAAAAAAAAAGGCAGGAGGCTAGTGAGGTTTTGTCAAAATTCCCAAGATGGAAGGAGCTAGTCTTCCTAGTCTTCCTTATTTATTGGAGTAAGATGGAGTAAGGACCATGTTCTCGACTCTCTTCTAGTTCTTCAGCGTCCATGCAGGACTGAGAGGACAATTGTAGGCAGGAGTAAGGCAAGCTGCCTTACTTCTGGGCAGTGGACGGCACAGAAGTTGGCTTCTTGTCTACTTTTCTCTCCAAGGCTTCAGAGTCAAGGCTGGAATGGGAGAATGGCGCATTGCCTAGTCTATGAGGTTGTCACTGTAACAGCTGCTCAAGTGATAACACTAGTAGGTGCTTTCAGGGAGTGCATTTTTGGGTAGGCTTCAAAGTAAATAACCACTGGTGGTGGTCATCTTACTGCTTCCACCAGGGTTACCAAGGATTATGTGGTGCAAGAAAAGTACAGTTTATGGATAATCCCCTACCAAGGTTGTTAACATAAAAAAGGGAAAAATGTGTATGGGATTTGGTAACAATCTTTGCATATTCTTTGCTCTCTGTTACAGAAGTGGAAGGCTTTCATTATTAATCTGTTGTCTCATTTGACTGTGGCGCATGTTTCCTGCAATGACAGGAAAGGGCTGGAGGTTTGTTTTTAGTGAAAGTAAAGATTGTCTGGTTTTGAAAAGCTGCTCCATAAGCAGTGAACTTTGTGAAACCTGATCGCCTGCTTTGTGTCCTCATCCCTGCATTTGGTGCTTGACATGCACTGCTGTATTCCCAGCTCCATCCTCCGCTGTCCTCGTGGGCCAGTTCGGGGAATGCTGACAGACCAGCTCATTGCTGTTGGATATGAAGTAGCCAAATTCTCCCCCCACACATACACCCCTTTCACTGGGAAGCACTGAGTGATCCAAATCTCCATCCTTTACCCAAATGTCAGTTTTAATGAAATTTATTTGCCTTTGAAGCCTTTGTTAATGGCAGACATGCCAAGGCTTCAAAGATCCCCGGGGGAAGGGTGACCACATCTTCAAAAGCTTTATTCCCACAGTTCAAAGTAGAAAGATGGGTCCTGCTAGCAAGCTGTTCCCAAGGGCCCATTCACCAGGCCTAGTACCTGGTATCACAGATAACAAAGACTGAAGAGAAAGGTCAGCAAATAAATCAATAAACAAATACACAAAACATGAAATTATAGTGGAATTTGTTCTTTTGTCAGAAAGGACTCTTGCAATATCATTGGTGTATCCTTCCAATACCCCATGCTCCTCAACTACGTGGGAGACCTGGCAGCGAGTCCGGGCGGAGTGTAGGATGTTTTGGGACTAACCCATGTGAAATGAGGTGCTGCTGTGCAGCG